GGCCATGGCGCTGCTGGGCTGCCTGGGTGATCTGCGGTGGGCCCTGGAGGCAGTGAGTGGCCCTGCGGGTAGGCAGGGTGGGGCGGAGTGGGGGTGGGGCAGAGGGTGGAGCGGGGGCGGACAGGGGTGGAGCAGGGGCGGGGCCAGTTTTTGGGCACTTGGTCTTTAAAAGGTTCGCCATCACTGGTATAGGTTCTCCTGCTTGAGCAGGGGGTTGGACTAGAAGACCTCCAAGGTTCCTTCCAGCTCTATTCTATTCTATTCTATTCTATTCTATTCTATTCTATTCTATTCTATTCTATTCTATTCTATTCTAGTCTAGTCTAGTCTAGTCTAGTCTAGTCTATTCTATTCTATTCTATTCTATTCTATTCTATTCTATTCTATTCTATTCTACCTTGAATGATAGTCAAGTGGGTGGATTGCAGGAAGTTCTCCACAGCACTGTTTTCCAAACATGGATGGGTTTTGAAGTAGCAGCCATGCTGCTGTGGGTCTCTACCTTTATTACCCTCATCATGAAGGACTATTTTTTTCTTTGATTGTCCAACACCATCTCTCCATCTTTCTTAATGCATCATGATCCTCCTTTCTTCAGTCACCTCTTGTGAGCAATCTCATGTTTTTTGTTTCTCCTAGTCTGCATTATCAAACTTTTTTTCTTTCTGGTAATACAGGCGTTTTCTTTGCCCAGAAGTCTGTTTGGTTAACATAGGCAGCTTGAATGCACAAAGGATATATTTATTGGCCAGACAGAAGCTGGGTGCAGTCTCCAGAGCCACTTTCACTCTCCTTTGTAAGGATAAAAACATGAACAGTGCTTTCACAAGTTTCTTCTTTGGAGGTTGGACTGAGTTTCACAATATGACTTGCAGCTTCAACTAATGCATTTGGGTGAAATCTAGAAGTGGGCAATGAATGCATTGATTAGACTATTTCATATGGCTTGTCAGAATCCAATTATATTTCATTTCTATCTACCTACTCTGATGAAAACCCAATTCTTACTCTATTCTGGATTCTGTCATACTACGAAAGGGGAGGAGGGTAAGCATGGGGGGGTTTATGACTCTCACTTCCTTCATTAACTACAAAGTGACCATTTGTGGATTCTCATCGAGAGAACTAACCATAACAATGTGGCCATTGCCTTTCATCTCACTCCCCTTTGCCGGCAGTGAGGAAAACGGGGTGGGAAATACAATGCCTGGGATCTGGGAAAAGAGAGGATGAATGATCGTGCCGACGGAGCGGACTGACGGATTGAATCGCCCGGAAGAACTGTGGGGTGGGGGCTGCTTGGAAACACTTTAAAACATTGAATGGTGGGAGAGGATTCCCCAGATCCTGTCTAGCATGCCTGCAATCAGCTTCTCTTAATAAAGATCCCTGTTGGAAGAGACATTCCAAGAGTTCTGTCTTCTTAAGATGTAAAATTGAGGTGGGTCCTTACATGGCTACTATCCCAATTCTATGATCCTGGATGGACATAGGTATAAATTTGGCAGCTGGATAGAGAGGCATGCTAATAAAACAAATGCCATTTATACTGATATCTAAATATAACTTACCTTCTGGAACTCGGATGCAAGATTAATTGGCATGATCTGATTTTACGAAATTTGGCTTGAACTCAAACACTGAACTGTATTGCAGCAGTGGTTTTCACCAGATTGGTCAAGCTATTAAGGAAACTGTCAAGCCTAATTTGAAACTATTAGGAAAAATGCTGGCAGGTTTATAACCACGGGGCACCATATCTGGATTGCAGAACTCCACATTGTCCCTAGGTGGCAGCAAAGAAAGAGCTTCCTGTTTTTCTCGGTTGACACCAAGTGGTGGTTTAGATTTTTGCAGCTCAGACACGGCAACTTTAATTTGAAATTAAAAATAAACCACACAACTGAGGAAATTAAACTCCCTTGTATTCTTCCAGGTGTTAGTCTGCCTAAAGAAAGAGATATTCTTTTCATTTGTGGTGGTCTTTGAGATTGTTGTTGTTGGTCTTTAAGATTAGTAGAGGGCAGAGGTCTATTAAAACAATTTGCTGCAATTTGCCAAGTGGCCCCTCTATGCTCCAGACATGTGGGGATAATGTAAAAAACAGGAAAGAGATTGTAATGCCCTCTTGGTAGGATTCTCATTGGTTGCTTTTAGTCAGAAAATTCTGGAATAAACCGCTCGCTATAATAAAGCAAGGATTCCTAACTTGATTACAGCCGTAATAAAATTTATGTTTTTCTCCAAATTCAATTGTAAAAGCATGACATAATACGTACGGTTTGTACTGACGGCTCAAATGCATCCATCTGGCATTGCTCTAATGTGCTTCTGGTGCCCAGCATTTAGGTTGTAAATGTTATATAAGGTTTGCTTTGCTATCCTAGCATCAGATCAGGTGCTTTAGGCTTTGTGAAGCCACACATTTGCTCTCCTTTCTCATATAGATGTCCACATTCTTCATAGCTTGTGGTGATTGCAGTCTCTGGGTTTATATTTGTGGGCGTTGGATCTCATTAGCCACAATCAGGACAGAAAACAGATTGCCAAGGAATAAGTCTCATTTTGAACTCAGTTTATTCTTAAGAAAAAAAAGATGACGGTCACAGCAATTCTAATGAATATTTTAGCTTTCAAATGTAAACACTATATATATAGGCAATTCAAAACTATTAGTGTTTTGCTTGCTTTTTCCTGTAGTTTTGCATTTTTGGGGGAATGCCAGCAAGCCTACATCTAGATATTGGTTATGTAGTGGCTACTAGCTTTTTGTTTATTGGTACGCAAATATATTAGAACATTGGATTGCTTAAAAAAAATTATTATGTTGAAGTTTGTATGCACAGAGGTCATTCATTTCCACAATAAATCTCCCCCAGTGCAAGAGAAACTTAAAATAAAAAAATTGGAAGGAATGAGTAAGCAAGCAAGCAAGGCATAAAACAAATATCTAATTTAGATAAGTGGCTTGTCTACAACATCAGAGCACAATTTACGGCCCCGGGGACAGCATGCGGCCCCTGAAGGCTGCTGTTTTCTGTGTTGTGTGGAAGGCAAACCAACATGATGCTATAAATGCAGATTGTTCTGAATTGTCTGTAATGACAGTATTTCCATATTAAATTTTTAATAGCATCTCTTATTTCATTCTCACTTTCCAATAGTTATATGCCATTCCATTAATCACTAGGTTCAATCAAACTTATTCAATGTTGCCTAAGAACAATTTAGGTCTTATTTTGTTTTACAAGAACAAATACAGTCTAAGCCAGCGATGGCGAACCTTTTAGAGACCGAGTGCCCAAACTGCAACCCAAAACCCACTTATTTATTGCCGGGTGCCAGGTGGGCGTGGTCCACTGGGTGGGCGTGGCTGTGGAGGTCATGGCAGATTGGGTGGGTGTGGCCAAGGTGGGCGTGATCACCTCGATGTTGCTCGTGGGGAGGGACGCCTGTGGGGACCAGGCAGAGTTGGGGGAGATCCAGGGGGTCTCTGGCAGGTGGGGCAGTGGGTAGGAGGCTCGTCCTGCAGGGTGAGGTGAGGCAGGGCGGGGATGCCATTGTCACAGGGCAAGGTGAGGCAGGGGCCGGAGCGGCTGCTGCCTGACACCATCAGCCCCTGCACACAGAGGCCAGTGAGCGCATGGGTGCTGGGATGCATCCGGCCACGTGGGACCTTGGCGAGTTAGCAGGCGGCTGGTTGAAGAGGGACAGTTGCCATCTCCGGGGCATGGTGCACGTGCCCACAGAGAGGCTCTGAGTGCCACCTCTGGCACGCGTGCCAAAGGTTCGCCACCACTGGTCTAAGCACTGTTATTAAATATAAGAATGGAAGTAGATGCTACTTTCAAAGAGAAGTTCCCTCAGCAACACATCTTTCTTAACATCCTCATAATTTCAGTGGCTTTTGTCTCTTTAGAATGCACCCCAAAGTGCTTGTGTCTCCCTGTAAAGACATATGTGACTTTAGCAGCTGCTTTCTAGCACTTTATTATATTTCATAGCATTATAGGCTTTAGGAGTAGCTTCTCTTTGTGTGTGTTTTAATACATTGCTAATGTTCTTTGTCCTGTTTTTTTTTAAACTACCTGGAACTTGTGGACTCCCAGGGAAAAAATGGCAAACTGAGACAGCTTCGTTAAAATTGGAGTCAACAACTAAAGCGAATGTGTGGCTGATATATAAACCAGCTCTTCATAATTCCTCTCTGGAAAAAGAAAGTATTAGAGATCACCCACAGGAGCACCAGACAGTTGCTCCCTAGTTGCTCTTTCATTTCAATTAGGAGCATCTTTAAAAAAAATTATGACAAGCCTCAATCCTTATTCAAGTTTTGTATTCCGGTTTTGAAAGAATGGAACATGGAATATCACCACTAGCAATACTAAGACAATTTACAGTCCTGTTCCACCATCCACTGGGCCATGTTTAGTGCTCTGTTGTAATTCTGTTATGTAGATTCTGATTGTTATATTTCAGAGCTGCATCACATTTTTTTTTTAAATTGGATCTTGATGGGCCCTTGTATACTTAGTACTAGGCAGAACTTTCGGATCACTCTTCTTGCCTAAAATGCTATCCTTGGCAATTCACAGAAATTATACATATATGGGTGACCATCATGGACCCTTTATACCATAGATCAAATAGCAAGATGCTGGATGAGGCTGTCATGGTTCCGATAGATGAAACTCTCCAAAACAACTTCGAGGCATTGTTTACCTTAAAGAATCTTTTATTCGAGAAACAAAGTATTGGCACTACATAGCTGAAGCCAAAAACTGAATTCCCCTCCCCTAGCACAAAGTAGCAAAGCACAATTCCCTCCTCCAATTAACAGTCATAAATCACATTCCCCAATTAACTTGAAGCGGGGGCTTTCTCCCCATCTCTCCAGCCCACCAAATCTCTATCAACTCTGGGCCTCATGACCTTGGGTTCCCACCGCTGAGTTATTATTGTTATGACTAGCTGGACTCTCATTCACATTCCCCCTCCCAGCATCAACGAACTCTAAAAGTGATAGAGGAAAAATGGCTACATTTCCATCTGTTGTCAAAGCAAGAACATCCAATGTTAGCAGCATTGACATCGGCTTCCTCAGTGGGCTATATAGATGTGAACATTTCATAATGACTTGGTCTAATGTGATTTTGTGATAAAGATGAAATAAAAAATGAGGAGCGGAAGACCGATTACAAGTGATAGGAGTGCCAGTATGACAGCCGTCCTTGAATATCTCCGAGCAGCTGTAAGATTTCCCTCACGATTGGCTTTTTGAGTCTGGAAAAAAACATATGAGAGAAATGATGCAAAAATGCAACTGACGCATCTGATTAGGACATTAAAATCAAGGTCTATCTGTATTCATCTTTAGTTGACTCAAGCGGTATAAAATGGGCATCTATAAAACAGTCGACATTTTTAAAAAAATGGGCTGGGAGTTGTGATCTCCTATCCTAGCTTATCCTACATTTCCTTTCGAAAGGGAAGAGATGAGGAAGTTTGGGTGAGAAAGAGAGAGGAATGTGTGGGGGGAAAAAATCACACAGAACAAGATGGGTTTGGTAAGTCTATCCAGTGTTTCTCAACCTTGACAATTTTAAGGCCTGTGGACTTCAACTCCCAGAATTCCACAGCCAGCAATGCTGGCTGTGGAATTCTGGGAGTTGAAGTCCACAGGCCTTAAAATTGTCAAGGTTGAGAAACACTGGTCTATGCCAAAAGCAATAAAAGAGAAAGAAAATAAAAAAGCTGACTTCACGTAGAATGTCTGTGAGAAGATGAGACTCCCAGGAATTCTGGGAGTTGAAGTCCACGAGTCATAAAAGAGCCAAGGTTGCCTACCCCTGGGCTAGAAGACCTCCGAGGTCTTCCAACTCTATTATTCTGTATTCCTCACATTTATCCACTCTCCTATCAGACATATCAATAATTTTACTGCTTTGGAAGCTAAATTAAATCCCATTATTCCCTTTGACTCTGCATAGTAAACAGTGGAGATCAAAGGTACCTTTTATATATACATATATGTGAGGCACGTATCTTATCTCCAGTGGAAAAGACATCTATGAAGTGAAAGTCATGAATCATCACAATGGAAACTCTCAAAGCAAGATTTGACCTGCAATTCACAGAAACCTCTAACCTTCAGCTGAGGATTCATCTTGCCACAACAATGGGTGTTTCTGGAAAAACTGCTAATCTCCAATAATTGTATATGACTTGATTATTTTTCACTTATTTGATGGAAATGCATCCCACACTGACAAGGGAGAAAAATTAGGGTGATTCTAGTTTCTATATTTCCAGCATCTTTAGAGAGTTGGGATTTTTGAATAGGAGCTATGCAAGTACTGTAGTGTTTAAGGCCCATAAAACCACATTGGGTTATTGGTGCCAGTTCATGCAGCCACATTCAACATTATTTCTCTATCCAGAGGTGTAAAGCTCTTTAAAACAGGACTTTGTGAAGTCTTTGTGAGATGGATGATACTAAATACTGCATCCAGTTTTGGTCACCATGACGATAAAAAGATGCTGAGACTTTAAAAAGAGTGCAGAGAAGAGCAGCAAAGATAATCAGGGGATGGGAGGCTAAAACATATAAAGAACGCTTGCTGGAATTGGATATGTCTAATTTAATGAAAAGAAGGTCTAGGGGTGACATGATAGCAGTGTTCCAATATCTTAGGGTTTGCCACAGAGAAGAGGGAGTCAGGCTATTCTCCAAAGCACCTGAGGGCAGGACAAGAAGCAACAGATGGAAGCTAATCAAGGAGAGATACAAGCTAGAACTAAGAAGACATTTCCTGACAGCTACAACAATTAACCAGTGGAACACCTTGCCTCCAGAAGTTGTGAATGCTCCAACACTGGAAGTTTTTAAGAAGAGATTGGACAACCATTTGTCTGAAATGGTATAGGGTTTCCTGCCTGAGCAGGGTGTTGGACTAGATGACTTCCAAGGTCCTTCCAACTTTGTTATTCCATGCCATGCCATGCCATGCCATGCCATGCCATGCCATGCCATGCCATGCCATGCCATTCCATTCCATTCCATTCTATTCTATTCTATTCTATTCTATTCTATTCTATTCTATTCTATTCAGCATCTCATCTTCCAAAGAGGCAAGGAAGTGGTGCAATTCAGTTTACCCCATGGCATATCTTTCCATGGTAGCCAATATGGTAATACTGAGGAATTATTTTGATAAATGATAACCCATATCTTCGGATTTTGATAAAACAAAGCATAAAAGTCCTGGCAAAAGAGGATCAACTGAATTAAAGACTGGATTTTAAAGGATCAGAGGTGATGCAGATTGATCACCAGGGATGTCGAGGAATAAAAATACTTCTATGCTGACATGGAGCCCATTTCATTTGTAGCAGACCACACAAGAACAAACACAGAGACGTACATTCATAAGCTTACCAGTTTAGAGAAAACAAAGGCAGCTACGCCCAGCGGCAAGAAACAGCACAGTGCAGCAACGATAGAGAAGCCAATATAATCAGGTTCTTCAACTAGTTCAGCAGGCACAAAGACAACCGTCTGTGGTTTCTGAAGGACCGGAATGTGTTTGGATGCTGTCCTATCTGGGTCATCTACAGGTCGGTCCTTGGCTGGCACAATAGGAGATTTCTCACAGTCTGCACAATGAGCTGATTCAGGAGGAGTTTTTGGAAGATCAAGCTGAATTTCCGAGTAATGGGGTGGACTTTGGGAGATAGGCACATCTTCTTGCAGCCTCTGGTATTTTGGGGAACTCATGGTTTTGGCTAGTAGCCCTTTCTACACCTTCACTGGTGTTCTGCAGATTCCCTTGGTCTTTCTTCCCAATTCTCTCCAGTCCTGATTTCTGGCCAGCTGTATAATAACAAGCAATCTTGTTTTGATTTGCTGTCTACCCTGTCATGGTTCTGACAGCTGAAACTCCTCAAAAGAACTTCGAGGCATTGTTTACCTTAAAGAATCTTTATTTTGAGTAGCATAACATTGGCGCTGCATAAACGAAACCAAAAACTGAAGTCCCCTCCCCTGAGCCCATAGCATCAAAGCACAATTCCCTCCTCTAACTAATCACATTCCCCAATTAGCTTCCTCTCCATTTCTTCACCCCACCAATTTCTTATCAGCTCTGGTTACAATAATCTTGTTTCTCACAGCTTGTTCACATCCCCCCTCCCAGCATCATTTAACTCTAAAAGCAAAATGTAAAAGATGGCTACAATTCCATCTGTTGTCAATGCAAAAAAAAAATCCAATGTTAGCAGCGTTGACATACCCCTCCAGTGCTTTTTTCTGGAAGTTGCCTTTGTGTTCTGATTCCGACTCCAGTGAATTGATGTTCTCTCTTTCTCTCCCAGCTCCCTTTTTGCTGGAACATTTGTATTATAAAATGCAGGCATCTCTGCTTTGCTTCTCTTTTGAGGGCTATGACGTATGTTCAGGCTTTGGACATAACAACGCCTATGTCATGGTTCCAACAGATGAAACCCTTCAAAAGAACTTTGAGGCATTGTTTACCAATGTTTACCAAAAACTAAATTCCCCTCCCCTGGATACCAAGTAACAAGACACAATTCCCTCCTCCAATAAACAGTCATAAATCACATTCCCCAATTAGCTTGAAGCGTGGGCTTTCTCCCCAGCTCTCCAGCCTGCCAAAACTCTATCAACTCTGGGCCAATGACCTTGGGTTCCCATGGCTGAGTTATTGTTGTTATGACTAGCTGGACTCTCATCCACATTTTCCCTCCCAGCATCAACTAAAAGTAATAGAGAAAAATGGCTGCATTTCCATCTGTTGTCAAAGCAAGAACATCCGATGTTAGCAGCGTTGACAGTCTATTAGGTAGCCGTTGGAAAGAAGAAAAGGGGAAGGAAAGAAAAAATAGCAATCAATAATAGAACAGAATAGAATTCTTTATTGGCCAAGTGTGATTGGACACACACAAGGAATTTGTGTCAGGTGCATAAGCTCTGAGTTTACCTACAAACAACAAAGTGGTAAGTCATAGATCATAAAGCATAGTTACAATCATTAATCATGAGATATAAACAACAAGTGATAAATCATAAAATAACAATAGGAACAGCTAGTAGGAAAGATGAGAAGATGAGAAAAGATGAAAAATGGGAAGATGAGAAGGATAATAGCAATAGAGCCTACTACATGGGTAAATATATTTAGACCCAAGATAGTGCTATGGGAATTAGGCATTCAACAGAGTGATGGCACGGTTGTTTGTTTTGGCATGAAATGCCCTATAGTGATTTGAAATAGTTTATGTCCAGGATGTGAGGGGTCTCTAGATGATACTGAATGTAGCTACTAGATCAGTGGTTGTTAAACGGGATAGTTACCACCAAGAGGGTCATCTGGGCATATACTGGGGGTAAGAGACATTTTTTCATGGCTTGTTTGTGAGTCAGGGATGTAGTTTGGGACTGCTGAGACACTTGTGTAAAACAACAGAATGTTCCAATAACTTGTAGCTCAGGGTTGAAATGAGGGGCCCTTGGTGCTCTCTGAGCTTTGTTGTTTCTTGCAGACCTTTCATTACCCAAATTAGGTAACATCATCAGTGCTAGTTAAGGAGTGGGGTTCGCTCTTAATTTATATTCTAGTGGCTTGCCCTGTCAGTGTTGGTGGGGGTGGTCTTAGAAGCCAAACCCAGCCAAACCAAAGAACCTTTAAGACCACCTTTACCAACACTTCACTAAAATTTGGACAACTTGGCAACTGATACATATTTATGATGGTTGCAGTGTCCCAGGATTTTGTGATCACCTTTTGTGGCAAGCAAAGTCAACAGGGAAGCACTTAACACACACTTAACTGTGTTACTAATTTAACAACTGCAGTGATTCACTTAACAGCTGTGGCAAGAAAGGTTGTAAAATGGGGCAAAACTCACTTAACCATGTTTTCCCTTAGCAACAGACATTTTGGGCTAAATTGCAGTCATAAATCGAGGACTCCCTGTATAGCCTAGAAATCACAAAAACTTTACTGAGAACCTTCCAAGACTCTTAGAAGTCTCTCTTTGTACCAGTAGAGAAATGATCAAAAATTGTCTGGAAGGGGTATAATTTTTCCAGTACTACTACATCATGCATGTAGCTAAAGAATATTGCAATAAGAAACATGTCAGAATAATTTACATTTGAGGTGAAAGCTGGGTTTTGGAATTACAGTACTCTAACACAAAGTTGCACTTCCATGAGACGAATAACGGGTTAAAGATCTTTTGAGACATCTGAAGATCTAAAACGTTCAAACCTTAAAGGGTTTGAGTTTTTCGTCAGTCAGTGCTTCGAAGGTCCTTTTATCCGCCACTAGAGAGGTTTGACTATGTCATAAACGTATAGACTAAATTTGAAGGTAGAAACTTCCCCTTGTGATTTTTCATGAGATAAAGTGTCCCTTACACTGGCTTGAATATTGACTGAAAGAGGTTCTTGTAATCTATTTGCTCAATGGCATTTTATTTTTGAACTATGTTCCCCAAGAAAGGTGATTTGGAGACAGGGCATGATCACTCCCTGGATGTAGCTGGCAACAAATTCTCAGCTGTCTGAAGGAGCCAGGAAGGGTTTGGATCCATGCTGCAGATGGCAGAACTCACCCTGCACAAGCTGAATAAATAAGATATGAGAGAGCAGAAAATGGCCATCATTAAACCCTCATTAAGCAGCCCCCCCTCTTTCTGTTTGCTTGATTTCAAATATGCCTGCCTCTTCATGAAAGGGGCAGATTTGAAACCATCTTCCATGCCGGATCACAGAATCTACTTTGAATATGAGACATAGATAGTTCATTGCAAATCTTTCAGTCATTCTTTCCAGCCTATAGCTGTCCCCTCAAATACAGTGCTACGTAGCTCAAACATATCTTTGACGTTCGCAGAACCAAGAATATGAAAACCTTTAGATGCGTGGGCACGTTAATTTTGTGATACCATTCAAATAACAGTGGAAGCCCTCGACGCGTTCTGATGAGTTGAGTCTGATGAAGTTTCTTCAGGGGCTTAAGGATACTAGAGGTCTACTCTACTTAAAAAGACTGCAATTATAGAGATGTACACGAATGTTAGTAGGATCCCAATCCCCAAGGCTATATGGGCAAAGGACCGTGCTAATATGGAGAGTCGCTGAGCAGCTGTTCGGTCACCAAGTTTGTTAGCTTGCCGAGTCTGCAGGAAAAAAGGGGGGGGGATTTATTATGAAATCATACTGAATAATATTTCACATACTGGACGTGTAACACTGAGTGTGCACCCGGAAGCTTCGTTTGTTTTGCCCACTGAAGAATTCTGTTGTCATGGGTGGCAAGCAACTTATCTGTAGGGACTGGCAGAGTAAAGTCCATAGTTCACATCATTTTAAAGCTTGCTTTGATAGATAAATAGCCAATATAAAAGTTTCTGGGAAATGATAAGGGTCAATAGAATCTGAGTCAGTAGAGATCTAAACATGCATTGCTATAAAAGGTTGCTCTAGTTGTTAAAACTAAGCCGAGAAGAACCTTTAAACTCAATTCAAGCTCAGCCCTTTCAGCCGTGGGTCCTCCAGATCTATCATCTAGAGCAGGGGTCTTCAAACTTGGCCCTTTTAGGACTTGTGGACTTCA